AGAATCTTAGGAACTAACTTCAGAAGGTACAGACTTTGACCTTCAGTTATCCCAGTTCTGGGCAATTTGCTGGCCTTCCAACGTAGAACCAGGATGACACAGAACCAGGGTGATGAAGGCCAGGATCACGCACACCAGACCATCACTTGAGCAGTTTCAATATCCTTATTGGAATGGACTGTGCTGGCTTGCAAATAGAGAACTTTTCAACCCCCCACACCTGATTTATTTGTTTGGCTTTCCCTCTCCCTCCTTATAAAAACCTTGACCAAGGTGTAGCAGTCTGGCAGACTCAGGGGATGTCAGTGACTGAGTTGTCTGGCTAAGGGCCAGGGGCCATTCCCCCCCCACTTTCCAGTGAACCTGACCAGTTCGTCCCCCTCAAGAGAGATGGAGAGAAGCATTCCCCAGCAGATCCAACCTTGGGGCTTTGGAGACCCCCACCTGAAATATAGTGGCAACCATACTTTGGTAAAAACTGCTGTTTGAATTTTAACCCTGCTAAGTCTGGCTCTTGCATCTGATTAAAACACTGGGTACTTGCCTCAGCTTCCAGGTGGAGACCTGGAGGCTAAGGCAGTTTTCCCTTGCCTAGGGGCCAGGACCACAGGAGATTGAATCCCACTGACTCAGTAGCTCCAGGGATAGAAACTGTAGATAACCTTTAGAGACTAACTGCTGAGCTCTGCTTCTGTGCTATTGCTATCGCAAGATAGGGCCACATTCCAATGTCCAGCAGGATGTGACTGGGAACCGACCCTGTGGGCTGTCCCCAGTCTTTAGAATGTAGTCTTTGGGATTTAGAATTTAGAACAAAGGAAAATTCCTGTGGTTTGAACCTTTAAAAGGGACTGCCTACCCCTGAAACGGGGCAGTCGTGTGGAGACCACCTGCGTGTGGTGCTCTCGCGGACGTCCTGGCCAGTTCAATAAATCCTTGCCTGCTTTTTAAAATTAATTAATCAGCCTCCGGTGGTCTTATTTTGAACCCAGGGTTTGACCCCGCAACAATACCCACCATCTTCCCAGAATCCTGACAAGCACCTGCCTCAGGGGAGATCCACAAGCCGACAGCCTCCTGACTCTGCCAGCGGCTCTTTCAATGACTGAGCCTAACAGACAGCCAGCAGAGAGAAGCTATTTTCAAGGTGCCTTGGACTTTTGGTGACCTACGTCTGGACGTGGGACTGAAAAAAGCCATCCTTGGTGTGCTGCTTGGACCTTCCCGCATACACCCAATCACATCAGAGGCAGCCACACCCTGTGGATAACTTGTCACTCCAAACCGGTGGCTGAATTCAGGCACAGATAGCATTTGCCATTGGTCTGCTCCAGAGTACCTCCCAACAGGCTCCAAACCAACACACGAAGTACCAGCCTCAGACAACATCTCAATAGATCCAATTAACTTCAAAACACAGCATATCCACAGGGAGATACTGGTGGGCACCAAACCCTGTTGAGGCTAATTCCACTCCGTGTGGTCAGCACCAGCATACCAGCTGACATGCCATGGTCGGGGTTGAGCCTCACAGGCAGTGTAGTCTGAGAATGGATCCCAGGCACAAATGCACCAACAGCAATCAGGATTTAGTTACAGCAGGCAGGCCCACATATCCCACACCAGGGGTATTCCTATGGTACTCAGCTCAGGTGATCAAGGACACTGTGCCACTGGGTCCCACCAGACACCTACTACATAAGGCCACCCCACAAGGACCTGTGAGTCACAGATCTATCTACTACATAGAAACAAACAAAAAGAGGCAGCCAAAATGAGGAGAAGAAGATACAGACCCCAAATGAACACTCCAGAAAAAGATCTAAATGAAATGGAGTCAAGCAATTTATCCAACACAGAGTTCAAAGTAATAGTTATAAAGATGTTCAAGGAACTTAGTGAGAACTACAACAGCATGAAAAGGGACATTGGAGAAGTATGTTTTGGAGAGGAGAAAATGGCGGCTGAACAGGCAGACCTGTTGGGCACCTCGTCCCAGGGCCAGGCTGGAAATACAACTAAATTGGAAAACATTCTTCTGGAATTTCTAGCTGAAGAGGTGACTTATAACAAGGAAGAACAGAAGGCATCTGCAGGCGGGTAGGAAGGGCGAGATCGTGAGGGGGAATTGCCCAGAGCATACACACCCACCTGCAGCCCGAAGCGGCTGACCTGTGGTGCCTCCTGACCTGCGGCAGCCTGACCCTCAGCGCCCATATCATCCAAGCAGCTAAAAAGGTCGCAAGACCCAGCAGACCTGAGCCACTAGAGGAGAAAGCTGCATTTTTTTAATTCTTAAAATTTTTTTTTTTAAATTTTTATCTCTAAACCTAGAGCACAGGAGTTTTCCTTTGCAACTATACACCCAAGGCATTGGTGCAAGGAGGGAGGTGTGGACTTGAGGGCCTGAGGTCAGGTGGGGGAGAGGAAGCAGTAGACAGAAGTCCTGCATTGGATCCCTCAAATGCTTCCAAACCAAACGGCGATTTCCTGCCCTGTGGGATCAGCCTGCCACCCCCTGCATTTTGAGTTTACTGAGGGGACAAAGGCAGAGGCAGAGCTTACGACCTGAACTGTCTCAAGGAGCCCTCAGTGACAGGCGCGGCGCATGGCCACCCACCCCACTGTTCTAAGAACCAGACTGTTAGACACTCCAGGGTTCCAGCTGACAAATGATGCTGGGAGAATGGGATATCTACATGCGAAAGAATGACATTGAACGTTTACCTTACACCGTATGCAAATATTAAAACAAAATGGACCGTGGCCCGACAGATGCTGCACCGATCTTTAGCTAGAGAACTCTCTGGAACCATTAAAGAGATCTTGGGACTGCCCAGTCTGAGGGGTGCAATGCTGATGGCTGCCACCCTCATGACATCATAGATGATATCAACAGTGGTGCAGGGAATGTCCGGCTAGTTATGAACTACAAAGGAAAAGAACTCAAATAAAGATCATTTTGACAAGCAAAATAAATAAATAAATAAATAAATAAATAAATAAATAAAATGGACCAAAGACTAAATATAACAGCTAAAACTATAAAACTTTAGATGAAACCAAAGGCTAGTCCAATAATAACCAAAGAAAAAGTATATAAATCAAACTTCATCAAAATTAAAAACTTTTGGGTATCAAAGGATGCTGTCAACTTAATAAAATGTAATTCACAGGATTTGAAAAAATGCTTGCAAATCATATCATATTCAGATTAGAACCCTTTGAGTATAATTCTGGAAAATGTAAAATGTTCCAGCTACTGTGGCAAACAGAAAAAAAATTAAGCATAGAATTGCCATATTCAGTAAATCCACTTCGGCTATATTCTCTAAGCTAGGGGTGTCGAACTCAATCAGAGAAGGGGCCAAAATCTAAAATCCAGCCTAAATCTCGGGCCGAAGGGTTTACTGAACAGTCATAAACTGTCATTGTGATGGAAACGCAGCGGAGTGCAGTGATGACAGCGCGGTGCGGGCCACATTGCAAGGCCTGGCGGGACGGATTTGGCCCGCGGGCCTTGTGTTTGACACATGTGCTCTAAGCAATGAAAACATTCTGAACATGGATGGTGGTGATGGTTGCACAACAATGTGAATGGAGTTAATGCCACTAATTATACACTTAAAACTGTTTTTTAAAAAAAACCACATCACATTTTTGTTATATACGTATATCCAGAGTAAAAATAAAAAGCACACAAAAAATACTATTCATCTGATAGTGCTTCTGGAAGGTTTATTAATTAGTCTTAAATAGGAATTTTTATCAAAAGATTTCAAAATATGCATAGAAAATGGTGAAGTGGGAAGGGAAATGAGATACTGATAATATTTTTTTCCTAGAAAATATATTCAGCAATGAATATTTTTTGTAATAAAATGAACAAACATATTTCTGGTTTGTGTTCCTTAAAGTCCTAATGATATACATTAATATTTAACATGTAAATATATTTTCCCAAACTGTCATTTAAATCCTGATATTAAATGCAAATTAAAAATCATTGCCTGGCAGGGGGACTCAGTGGTTGAGCTTTGAATTATGAACCAGGAGGTCACGGTTCTATTCCAGGTCAGGGCACAGGGCAGGGTTGCAGGCTCATCCCCAGGAGGGGGCATGCAGGAGGCAGCCAATCAATGATTCTTTCTCATCATTGATGTTTCTCTCTCTCCCTCTCTCTCTCTGTCTTTCTCTCTCTCCCCAAAATCAATTATATGTATATATAATTTTTTAAAAGAAATAATTGAAGTAAATGTCACTAAAGTAAATTTCTTAAATTAAACCTCAAGAAAAGCTTATTGAAGACATAACAATCCATAACGCAGAGAGTGGGGAGGTAAAAGCAGTTTCTATTTACTCCTTTATTAAACCACATTTTCCTGTAAACAACTCCTTTCTGTGGATTTTGAGAGAAGCCTGTGATGGAGAAAATCCCTGCCTGGGGAAGACAGGACAGGGGCACTAGGAATGCCAGCCTTCCCTGGAGACCCTCCCGTGGTCCCCTCTCCTCCCCGGGAAATGGGCCGTGACCGACCACCGTGTCTGCCTTTGGGGCACTGTCACTCCGCTCCGGATTCTTCCCAAACCCCGCTGCGCCCCCTGCGAACAGTGAGCGCCCATCCGTCTGCGGCTCCGCTCCCGCAGCCGCCCCCCGGTGTGCGCGGGAGGAGCGGGAGCCGCCGGACTGGATGGTCTGTTCCCGGCGTCCCGAGGTTTAACCAGGACCGGGACCAAAGGGCACTGGTTACACCGGAGTCCGCCGGGGGCATTCCATATCTGTTTTTCGTCAACCACCCTGTGCGCACATAAACTCGGGGTATTTGTTGATCCAGGTCCCCCGGGAGGCGCGGGACCCTCCTCACAGCTGTCCGGAGGCCTCCCCCACCCCAGCCCACTGAGGCCCGCGCTCTGGCCGGGACCAGCTGGGGACCCAGCGGGGTCCGGAGCCAAGTCCCCGCGCCCGAGGTCCCGCCCACAGCCGGCTCCGCCAATCCCGCTGCGAGCTGGCGGTGGGGGGCGGGGCGGGGCCGGGGCGGGTCCCCGGGACCTTAAATGGGCGCCCGGAGGCCCGGCCTAGCTCCGCAGACTCTGGGCCCGCTCCGGCTGACCGCTGTTGGCGCAGCTGCCCCCTCCGCAGGTGAGCGCCTCCTCTCAGCACTCCCACCCCCTTCAAGCCGGGGCGTGGAGCGGCAGGGCCACCCCGAGAACGAGGGCCGCCGTCATCCATCCTTGGGGGTCGAGGGTTTGGTGGGGGGGTCCCCGGAATCGAGGTTGTGGGGCCGCTGCTCCCTGCACCGTCAGCATCCTCTGGCAGCGCCTGTTGTGCGCGCAGAGCTGGGCACGCGCAGCACGCCTCTGGCAGGGCGGGGCTGCAGCTGGCTCCCGGGCCCCTGGGAGCCTCACCCTCTCCAGGCTTGGGGAGGGGGTCTCCGGGCTGTTTTTCTCCACCCACATCCTCAGCCTTCCGCCACAGTCCTGTGTGCTTCCTTGGGAGGGTCAATTAAATATTTTACTCCAGGTCTCTCCGAGGAAGGATTCAGGGGAAGGATTGGTCTAATCAGATCACTCATTTCCCCCCTCCTTTCTAGGTTTTTGAAACATGAATCCTTCGCTCCTCCTGACTGCCCTTTGCATGGGAATAGCCTCGGCTGCTCCAAAACTCGATCCCAGAGCAGACGCACAGTGGAACCAGTGGAAGGCAACACACGGGAAACGCTATAATAAGGTTGTTAATATCTGAAAAGGTCCAGAGGGGACCCCCCCCAGAACACGGTTCTTGCTGTTGGGAGTTTATAGCGGAGAGTAGCTTCTGGAGACTCTTAACAGGCCATAAGGTCATGGCCCCCATTACTGACACCACGGGCCATGCACCCCTGCCGCCAGGGTGCTGGAGGACAGCTCCCAGGGGTGCAGAGCCGCCCCAGACAGTGGTTTGTGTTCTGTCTGCAAACCCACGTGGTGAAGGTGAGTTGGGTTTTCGGTAGAAATGAACAGGGCGTGGTCTGTGCTTGCCTCTAGAATGAAGAAGGATGGAGGAGAGCGGTGTGGGAGAAGAACATGAAAATGATCGAACTGCACAACCAGGAACACGGCCAAGGGAGACATAACTTCACCATGGCCATGAATGCCTTTGGCGACATGGTGAGTGCGGCCTCGGAGGCTTCGCTTTGTGTGCTTCTCCTCGGTACTTTTAGCAGAATAACCTCTTCCTTTATAACATTCTGTGTCTTTTTCCTGGAAGACCAGTGAGGAGTTCAGGCAGGCGAGGAATGGTTTTCAAAACCAGAAGCACAAGAAGAGGGAAATGTTCCAAGAACCTGCCTTAGCCGAGGTGCCCCGATCTGTGGACTGGAGAGAGAACGGCTGGGTCACGCCTGTGAAGGACCAGGTATGGCCGTGCCCGCAGATCACCTGCTCCCCACGAGCACGGCCGTGCATCCACTGCTGCCCGTGACGCGGGAGGCCTCGGAACTATGTGCAGTTTGCTGTTTTTAAAAACAGTTTCCAGATAAGTTGTCTGCTGCCAAAGTCTTGCTGTTTGTTTTATAGAATGAGCACTTTTGAATTTTGTTTTCAGGGTCAGTGTGGTTCTTGTTGGGCTTTTAGTGCAACTGGATCCCTTGAAGGACAGATGTTCCGGAAAACTGGCAAACTTATCTCGCTGAGTGAGCAGAACCTGGTGGACTGCTCTCGCGATCAGGGCAATGAGGGCTGCAGTGGTGGCCTCATGGATAATGCCTTCCAGTACGTCAAGGACAACCAAGGCCTGGACACAGAGGAATCCTACCCATATTGTGGAATGGTAAAACACGTGCCTTATCATTCTAGCTCTGCTTTTGAGTGTTGAGCACTTCAGAGAAAACACTTACCATATTTAGAACTCACATTTAAGCCTGGAGAATCTGTATCTGTAAACTGTCCAAGCTGCCAGATTCTCTGTTTAGATGGTCAATGTATAGCTGTTCCTGCTTCTGTGTTACATGAGATTTACATATCATTCTCTTTATAGGAGAAGTTTCTCATGGCCAGGGAGACCAAGACTATCTCATTGAATATACATATAACAGCTAGTTTCTCAATTTCAAAGCAACCGATAGCCCTTCACCTCCTGGGATGCTTTTGGCCTAGAAATCATCAAACTGCAACTTGTCTTGAACTCATGTTCCCGGGGAGGTATGATGTAATCACGTCTCTTCCGTTTGGCCTTTAAAAGGATGACACTTGCAAATACAAGCCTGAGTTTTCTGCTGCCAATGACACTGGCTTCGTGGACATTCGTAAGAACGAGAGGTCCCTTATGAAAGCAGTGGCCAGTGTGGGGCCCATTTCCGTGGCTATCGATGCAAGCCTTGCATCCTTCCAGTTCTATGAAAAAGGTGAGGATTTCTCTTTACATAAATTCAGGCAGAGATATTATAAAACCACCCTGACATACAGCAAGACCGACTCTTTGGCATGTGGAATTGCTGGATGTGTGGGTTTAACATAGATGTGCATTCTACACATGTAATATTTGTGCCAGATATTGTCCATCTGACATGACTTAAACCATATGCCCGTGATCTTAAGTGCCTCATAAATAGATCAGATACCTACATAATTTGGCTGATATAGCTTCATTTACTTTACTTTTTTTTTTTAATATATTTTATTGATTTTTTTACAGAGAGGAAGGGAGAGGCGGGGAGAGAGTTAGGAACATCGATGAGAGAGAAACATCGACCAGCTGCCTCTTGCACACCCCTTACTGGGGATGTGCCCACAACCAATGTACATGCCCTTGGCCAGAATCAAACCTGGGACCTTTCAGTCCACAGACTGACGCTCTACCACTGAGCCAAACCGGTTTCGGCCATTTACTTTAGTTTTAAAAATTGTTAGACCTTTAAAATATTCCGAGAATTTTACTACTAAATGAAAACTGGCTCAGGTAATTTTGTGTTTTGTTTATTTTCGTAGGTTGATATCCTAAAAGTAGAATATTTTCAACCAGTGGTCTTTTATGACTCTTGACAGATGTTTCTAAAAATGATAGTATTATATTATAGGAGGGCCTAACTCCCAGCCTCGGTTTTTAAAATCTTGCTTTTAAATCTTACCTGGATTTGTGTAATCTAACTGAATTTTGAGACACCTCTCTTACTGTGGTTGGTAGGCAAACTTACTGTCAGCTCTTACCTGGAGATCTGCACCCCAGCAATGACTTCTATCTCTTAGGCATTTATTATGATCCGGACTGCAGCAGCGAGGACCTGGATCATGGTGTTCTGGTGGTTGGCTATGGCTTTGAAGGAGGAGAATTGGATAACAATAAATATTGGATTGTCAAGAACAGGTATAAAATGCCAGAAATACTTACATTTTATTGTGGAAAGGGAATCCTTTTCGAAATCAGTATTTGGACACATATCAAAACTTGGAGCACAATTCTGAAACCCCAGAAGTCCTTATCCCACTTAGGATGAACCGAGACATGAATGTTGGATTGTAACATTAAGATACTGTCCCAAGCTTGCTAGGGCGTTGGTACCGTTTTGGTACCAATGCATTTCTAAATTTGAAAATGTTCTTAATTCTGAAACACCTGGCCCCAAGAGTTCTCTTTTTCAGTCTCTAATTTTACAGTTCTGTGAAAGATTCAGGGATAGAAACATGTACAGGTTTGGAACCCAGCCATGAGCAAGAGCAGCGGTCTCTCCTGCTTCTTTCTGAATCTGTCTGGGCCTCAGGTGCACTGTTTATGCATCTGGTGTTATTGTTGATAAACATAAATGTGTCTGGTTACTTGTGTGAAGCGGAAACCCTCTCTTCTTTCAGCTGGGGCACAAAGTGGGGCACGCATGGCTACATAAAGATGGCCAAGGACCAGGATAACCACTGTGGGATCGCCTCCATGGCCAGCTACCCTACTGTGTGAGACGGTGGTGACTGAGATGTGATGAAGAACAGAATAACCAGAGGATGAATATGATCTCAAAACTCGTCAGAACCCTGGCCGATGTGGGTCAGTGGTTAGAGTGTCAGCCCAAGCAACCGAGGGCCTTGGGCTCAGTTTCCAGTCAAGGGCATATACTTGGATTGTTGGTTTGATCCAGACCCCCGTGAGGGCCTGTGTGGGAGGCAACCAATCAACATCTCTCTCACATCGATGTTTCTTTCTTCCTCTACACTCTCTCTCTACCTCTCTCTTGTCCATTCTCTCTCTAAAAATAAATAAATAAATAAATAAATAAATAGGAAAAAAAATCCTCAGGTGGGAATTATCAACAACAAAACAAACAAACAAAAAACCAAAACCCTGCTCAGACCTGTGGGATAAAACAGTTGAGTCTTTGAATATCCAAGCTGTGATTTGAATTCTGCAACATTTTACACTGGCAAAATGTTTCACTTCTTTAATTATTGTGTTAACAGTTTGTATGATTGACTTGCCTAATAACTTTTGCATTTTTATGTTTTAAAAGAATGTACACCTTTTTATCTTTTAAAATAAAACTTAATTTTGAAATAGAGGTGGAGCTTCTATTTGTTTTTAAGTCATGAACATTTTGTATAGTGAAACATGTGATTGGGCTCTGGAGGTATAACAATGTGCTAGTGGCCGTTCTACTTATAACCAGACAGATCTGATGTTTGTTGTCCATTGGCTGTGTCTGACTGTTAAATTTTGCTTAAATGGAGCAAAATTTAACAAAGGATCCATAAAGGACAAAAGTACGTTATTTTAATAAATAAAATTCACATATTAAATAAGAGATTACACATACAAAGGATTTCCAGAGTAGAAAGGGGCTTGAGAGGTCATGGCTATTGCACAAGATGGTTACAGTCCAGATGAGTGACAGGACAAATGTCACAGGCCAGTTTCTGAAGCATCATCTCCAACTGTTTGTAAGACCATGGGGCTACTTTGCAGTTGAGAAAGGACACAATCCAAAGGCTCGCCAAGCATGTTTGTCTTTGCGGCCACCAGGGTTGAGGGATGAGCTGGGCTTCAGAATTAGTGCTGTGGCCTCGGAGGTGGGCGATAGGTGAGGGTCAAAAGTGATAGGCCTGCCGAAACCGGTTTGGCTCAGTGGATAAAGCGTCAGCCTGAGGACTGAAAGGTCCCGGGTTCGATTCTGGTCAAGGGCATGTACCTTGGTTGTGGGCACATTCTCTCTCATCGATGTTTCTAACTCTATCCCTCTCTCCTCTCTCTTCCTCTCTGTAAAAAGTCAATATATATATATATTAAAGTGATAGGCCTAATTCACCTAGCTACCTTATCTCTGTGAATTTATTTCAAAACAAAAACAGCAACCTAATTCTACATTCCGCAGGCTAAAGAAGCACATAGTTCCATTTGTTGCCTATTTCCACTGAAGGAACTATAAAGAGCAGGTGGAAGTATTTAGTTAATAGGCCCCACAATTACATAGGAAGACATGGAGTGTAGGACAGCTGGGACTCCGCCCCCAGGCCTCCAGCAGCCCCTGTTCAAGTCCGTCTGTGCTGGACCATGTGGCCTGTGGACCCTCATGTGGCCTTCCCTGGCAGGTCTTTAAGTTTACGACGCTGTGACCTAAAATGACAAATGTGTTTAGAGTGAAACCCTGTGGGTTCTGTGATCAGACTAACAAGTGCGTTCACAGGAAGATTGGGGAGGCTCCCAAGCTGAACCCCTTTTGCTGCTTGGTACCAATGTTGAAACATGTGGAATCGATGTGCCCACACAGTGCCCCAGTCATCACCCGTGGGAGTCACAAGCGGGAGCTGGTGCGTTAGGGAGAGGAAGGCCTGGGAACACCAGGAGGAGGAGGAGGAATCTGACAGGAGCCCAGGGGAGCCAGGCAATGAGACAGGATAAAGGTGGTGTCTGAGCAGAGACTTGTGGTCAGCAGCTCTGAGAAAAGAGAAGCCACATTTAGGGAAAGTGGGGAGAGAGTGAGCTGAGGTGTGGGAGATGAGGCCGGGTCCACACGTGGGTTTTACAGACACGGGGGCCCTGGGAGTGCGGTGAAAAGACTGTTCTGGTTATCTGTTTCTGTAAAAATCTACCCTAAACATCACAGCTTCACAGTAACCATCTTTCCCATCTCCCGTCTGGCTTAGCTGGGGGTTACCGCTGGAAGTCTCTCCTGCATTGTGCCTAAGTTGTCTGTAGGTCTGGAGTGGCTCACAGCCAAGTGGACTCACGTGACTGTCCCGGATGCTGCTGACCAGAGATTACTGCATGGCGTGGGGGCCCACAGCACAGAGACTGCCTCTGAGAGGGCTGTCCCTGGAGGCAGGTGCCGGGACGCCCAGGGAGGACCTGCCAGGCTACTTAGGACCTTGTCTAGTGCCCAGTGGGGTCTCTGCTGCTGTATTAGAGGATGTCACAGAGAGAGCCCGGGTTCCAGGGAGGGGGCTGGGGCGAGGTCACTAGCAGAAGAGCCTGTGACATGGACGCTATGGCGGTGGCCATCTTTGGAAAATGCAAACCTGCACATTTCGTCTTGGGAAATCCACTGGAAAGAATGTCTTTGGGAATGTCATCTTGCTTCACCATAAGAGGCCAGCTCAGGCTGCTGTCCCTGGAATTCCGGAAGTTCAGACCAAGATTCTGAGAAATGGCCCAGGTGCTGAAAGGAATGAAAGACTGGGGCCTCTCAGATGTCCAAATGATTAAACACATTTTATAAGGTGTTGCCATTTTTAAAGACATACATATTTAAACTTGGGGAAAGTTTCAAACTGAATGATGTCTAAATGATTAAACAGGTATCAGAAGTTTCTGAAACTTTCAAATTAACTTAACTTGTGGAGAGTTCCAAGCCAAAGCTATCATATTTTTAAAATAGGTCCATGAACAAAGATTAAATAAAGCAGAAAACAAATTTCAATTACACAAAAGTCTTGTCTGAAACATAAAGTTACTATCAGAAGCTGGAAGAGGCAACAGAACTTTCAGCTTCTGCAACCTCAGAGGGAGTATTGCCCCGCAGACACTCTCGGTTGGAATTCTAGCCTCAAGAGGGTGAGCACCAAGCCTGCAAGTGTATGATCAGCGGAATGTCAGCTGGGCACTGACGCTCCTGGGCACAGCTGGACTCGTGTTCTCCTCAGCAGCCCAGGGCACAGCTGGCCTCCGCTGAGCAGGACAAGTTAGACTTGCTGGCCATCCAGGCATGACAAGGAAAAGATCGTCCACTCTACATGGTTCGCATCAAGACCGAGTTTTCTTTTCACAGGTGTTTATCTAGTGGCTTAGGCTTCCGCTGAGCTCAAACAATCTTACCCGTCCACAGGGGAATCAAGTAAGATAGGAGACATTTAAGAAATCCATCATGATGTAGCATGGGTATCACGGGTAGCAGGGAATTTAAGGACCTGCCACACAGGAAAAAAGGCACAAGAAGGTTTGGGAATCTTTTGCCTCCTCACATATCCTCTCGTCTAAATCCAGCACTGGCTGGGTTCCATACCGGAGACCATGATACCTTATGGAACAGCATTCTCACTCATCAAAATGCATGTAAGACACACATTGCCTCTTTACTCTCTGGTGAAATATGGTAGCAACCATACTTTGGTAAAAACTGCTGTTTGAATTTTAACCCTTCTAGTCTGGCTCCTGCACCTGATTATACACAGGATAGTTACCTCAGCAATTTTCCCCTGCCTGGGACTAGGAACTACAAGAGACTGATTCCCACTGACTCAGTAGCTTCAGGGGTAGAAACTGTAGATAACCTTTAGAGACTAGCTGCTGAGCTCTGCTTCTGTATTATCGGCTATCGCAAGATAGGGTCGCATTCCAATGTCCAGCGGGATGTGACTGGGAACGACCCTATTCCCAGCCTTTAGAATTTAGAATTTAGAACAAAGGAAAATTCTTGTGGTTTAAGCCTTTAAAAGGACTGCCTACGCCTGGAATGGGGCGGTCGTGAGGAGTCCACCTGTGTGTGGTGCTCTTGCAGCCGTCCTGGCCTGTTTTTCAATAAATCCTTGCCTGCTTTTTTAATCAATCATCAGCCTCCGGTGGTCTTATTTTGAACCCAGGGTTCAACCCCACAACATCTGGTCCAGCTTTCACTGGATGACATCAAATTATTTATTTATTTATTTATTTATTTATTTATTTTGCTTTTCTTGGTGAGAGAGAAAAGATCATGAGAAATATATAAAAGATACATGGGCAATGATGGAAATAGGACTTAATATTAGATATGTTCAAAAAGTAGTGGTGACCTAAGGTAGCCTACCTCAGCATGGGGCCTACAGCTGGTCTTTTTGACACTGAAGTCCTGACTTTGACAGGAAGATTTCTTCTGAGACCACAGCTTCCGGGTCAACTCTGGGGTTTTGGGAGCTCAACAGCATGTGTGTGGAGGATAGAGTACCAAAAGGGGACTTAGCTTTACTTCACTGCTTGACTCTTAAAACCTGGTTGGCACTTCCCAGCTTACCACCATCATTCTCCCCCAAGTCTTAGGAGCCTTTGTCACATGATAGCCATGCTGTCCTGGGTGTCAGTCTTCCTTCCAAGAAGGAGATAGGTTCCTGGGGATGAGCTGCATTTCCCAACAGAAAGCCCAGAAAACACAGCCTCCAGTAGAGTCAACCATTTCCCTGCTGGGAACCTTCATTTATCTTCTTCCCATGCATCTTCTCAGCTATCAGACGTGGTTCAGGCCATTCTAAGAGGCGGTGAGATACCAGCAGGGAAGAAGAATGCCTAAAACCTCGAATACAGTATTCTGTAATGTTTTGAAATATTCTTTTACTCTAATTGTCTTTGTGTGTGTTTTCTGTGGGCTGTAGGCTCCCCCCACTCTCCCCCACCGGTGTACCAGGCTCCTCCCTCACATCTGAAAGTGGCTGAACTGTCACCCTCTCCATGAAGCCTGTCACTGCACAGAACAAAAATTAGAATAACCTTCCCTAGCATTGCTCTTCTCTTCCCTGACTTACTTTCCCCACAGAATTCATACCACCAGACACACACTTTCATTTTATTGATTGCTTTTGTTTATTGTGTCTCTGCTCACATTAGCGCTGAGTCTATATAGAGATCAAGAAGTTTTGTTCACCTCTCTATTCTCAGCACTAAGGATAGGACCTAGCAAACAGCAGGCACACAAGAAAATCTGCTGCCAGGAGGAAATGACCTGCCTGAGTTATGTGCGAGCACATTGTCAGGGTTTTAAGAGTCAAGCAGTGAAGAAAAGCTAAGTCCCCTTTTGGTACTCTATCCTCCACACACATCCCTCTTCCTCAGGGAATTGCCACAATTATTAATTCACCGATAGGAAGAGTCCTCTTTTTTGGCCTTTACCCGAAAACACATGCAGTTTTGTTGTGTGCTTTTTAAATTTTTTACAAAAATGGCATTCTGTCATATCTATTTGCAAAATGCCTTTTCCACCTACCATTTATAGCTTAGTTATAGGCCCTTGTTTGTATTTCAGACTGAGATGGTTAATTTTTTTAAAATCCTCACTCAAGAATATCTTTATTTATTTATTTATTTATAATATTTATTTAT